AAATTTCGCTGATAGAAACAAAAACAAAAAAAGTCAAGGCACAATAAAAATAGTAAAACTTTACATCAAACTAAAACTCCAAATATTTACAAAAGTTAAACTGAAGTATTCACAAACCACTTTAAGGAATAAAAAAAGAGGATTACAGGAATGTTTCCACTTTTTTTTTAAATACAATTTAGTGCTCTTAAATGCCAAAATCACACAAACAGGACACAGTACATTTTAAAAGCTACAAAAATCACATAAAACCATTATTAACTGCAAAGATTTCCAACCAGTAGTCAATTGACACAATTTCAAGCAAATAATGATTCACAATAAAATTCAATATTTACAGTTCAGCTTCAGGGTGTTTAAAAAGGTCTGGGAGCACACGAGCTTCAGTAATTGATAGCAAAATTGTCCTTTTTGGCTGAACTCCTCCATCATCAACCCAAACATCACGCAGAGCAGATGTCATGAATGAGATGTGGAGGGAAAAAATTCTTTGTCTGTAAGGGATAGTTGCTAAAGGGCTGATTAAGTAATCACATGGTTTAGTATTAGCAGCTGACCCTGATGGACAAAGCCTGACAAGGACAAATTCCTCAAAAGCCCAGCGTACTGTATGTCCCTTTAAGCGCCAGTGAGTGTATGATAAAGCCACTGTTTGCAGCCTGCCTTCAAGAAACATTATTATAATTCTTATTATTCGACAGAGAATGGAAATAACTAGAAATGGTGTAGACTCGCACACAGAGTCCTAACAACACACAACGCCACAAGATTCCAGTAACAAGCAATTTGGCTGTCTGCACCAAACGCAACAGGACATGACAGAAACATTTATATACCAGTCACTGCAGTCACAGTTCTGACTTTCATTTTCAAACCGTCTGCTAGTTATTTTATTTTCAAAATCTGTTTTAAACTATCTGCTGCTGCTATTTATAGTTGTATGTCACATTAAACTCACATCGGTAGCATTTACCACAGAATAAAGCACATAATCGGTACCTGAGGTTATCATTGTCTTAATAGTACATGCTGATGTTTTGCCCCTTAAAATAGACATTTTGCGCATCATCTTCACAGATGGTTAGAACAAAAACTCCTTTTAAAGTGAAAAACTATTTTTTTATCATGTGTCATGGCACCGCATCGCCTGTAGACACTGTCACTGTGCCATATCAGAAGATCAACTCAATCAACAAGTTTTCTCATGATTATGATTGTCTTTTTATTTCAGAATGACAATATGCAAAATAAACGGACAGTTCACACCAAAATGAAAATTGTGTCATCATTTACTCTTCACTTGTACCAAACCTGTTGATAGGGATGTAATGATTTACCGTGACCTGGTTCGATTCAAATCGATTCAAATGTGTGACGATTCAAACCAGTTGAAATGTTGAATGAATCGCAAAACATGTTTTGAACAGAGGGGGCGCTGTGCAATCTCGCAGGTGCAATCTCGCTTTACCTGCAAGCGGCGAGCAAGAGGTGGGGCGGCAGAGTAAAATGACAGCGGTGAAGTACACCAGACAAACACAAACTGTGTAAATACTACGAAAAGATGTTTACATACACTAACAGGAGAACGAATTACATGCACATAAACCCTCGGTGATACTTATGTGAAAAACTACTGTCACAGACATCTATACGCAAAAAAAAAATAATAATAAAAATATTAATAAGCCAAACCACAAAGTCCAGATGATTTGCAGCTCCGCTTGCTCTGATGAGTGCTACGGAGATCACACGGTGCATCAGTGTTTTCAAAGCGAAAGTGTGGACATGTTTTTCAGACTGAAAGAGACTTCTGTTACAGAAACAGGTGTTAGATTATTTTTACCCTCTCCTTTTCAAATTAGTTCATGCATATTTTCATAATTTGCTTATTATTATTTACATTTAAAAAGTGTTCAAGATTATCTTTTCTTAAGTGCATCACATTGAAACTTAAAGTAATTAATTTGCTATTAATACAAGTAATGTTAATTATTTATCTTCATAATCATGTTCAACTCCTGTCTCTAGTCTACTTTATAATCAGTAATTTTATAATCAGTTTTTTATGCCTGTGGCCAGTCCCCTGGATCAGAGGGGGCTATTGACCACCTCTGTACGCACTGCTCTCTGGTTTAGGAAAGGCTTCCCCCTCCACACCAGCCATCTCAGTCCTCAGTGAAAGAGTTTTGTTCAGCAGGGGGACATTGTAAATGTGCAAATATCTCAGCTTATACCAGAACAACATAGACATGCTGATATTTCTTTTTTATGTAAAATCCTAGCAGTCACAGATTTAGCTTGTTTATATTATTGATGAGTCTTCTTTAATTTGAATAGTTCTTTTTTGGGGGAATTTGTTTTTAAAATAGCAATTAGTTATGGAAGAAAATATATTATTTTGCAAAAATGTGCAGCATTTAAGAAAAAACTGAAAGGGCTCTTCACCTTAAATTTGTTTCAAATAATTTAGAAAAAAATCATGACTAAATTGTGAATCGTGAGATTAGTATCGCAAATCGTAGCAAAAAGGTGAATCTTTACATCTCACCTGTTGGAGTTTCTTTTATCTGTTGAACACAAAAGCAGATGAAGATTGCTGGAAGCCAGTAGCCACTGACTACTATGGAAGTCAATGGCTACCAGTTTACAAAAATTCTTCTAAAAATCTTCTTTTGTGTTTAACAGAAAAAAAAAAAACTCAAACAGGTCCTGAATCACTTGAGGGTGAGTAAACGATGACACAATTTAATTTTTGGGTGAACTATCCCTAACTATCCCTAACTTCTCTGTGTGCATCTTTCCATACCATTCACAGTTTCACACCCACACAGACAAAACGGGGGCAACAACACGATCTAGTCAGATATGACCTACTTTTTACGTATTCTCCCACAATCCCCTTTGTTCCCCCAGCAGCACCCTCTTTCAGAGACACAGAGAAATGGGGGAGGAGGAGAGTAACAAAGACTAAACACCCAATTCCACACGATGCACCCTGGGACACTCAGAAATCAAACTCGATCACTCACAAACTAGTTAATGCTCACTACTGCAGGCTCCCCAAATGGCAAAGCCCCCTGACATCTAATAAGAAGCGGATTAAACATAATGAATGCATTGCAATTAACTCTCTTCAATGGGTGTATTACACAAGAGACTCAGAAAAGGCTATTACAATTTATCTATTATTATGAAAAAAATAATTTTAAAAAACAATGTGTAATATATTACCTACATAATTAAAATATATTTATTAAATT